CCCCCCCCCCCCCCGGATCTGACGATGCGTCCCCAATCTCGTTCCCAGCTAGCCATTCCGCTGGACAAGGGTAACGCGGACTCTGGGAACGAGATAGGATACGTTCCATCATGCACCAGGTAGTTTAGATATGACGTAAAGATACTTTCATAACCTTGTTTGTACTAAATATCTCTGTTGACTTAATAAGTTCAAGGCATTTAAGCGTATTTCAGTAATGGTATGAAGCGCTTAATGGGGCCTTAAACTAATTACAGTCTCAACTCAATCCATTTGAATTGTTTTATTAGTGCTTCGCTTGCATTACAAATTCATTACGCAAAAGCTAAAGAAATCTGACGAATGAGTTCATTTGTACACAAGATCATCGTCTAGGTATATTACAGCAGGGAACTGTACAAAAGGAAAAGTAAGAAATACTAGAACATAGTAGCATCCAGGACTACCAATATCGCGTTAACCATTGACATTTGCTCAGCCGAGTTCCATTCACCGAAAACGGCCCCGAAAACCTGAACCTGGCATCAAAGATCAGTTAGAGGAAATGAAATACGAATGTCGTTTGGCATGGAATTCTGTCCACGGCAAGGCTACCATTTTTGGACGTTCCGATTGTTTCCGAAATTTTCCCCTAGAAAGACTCAGAACGTCATGATCAGTTTACTTTACAACCGGATTTTCCGGGAACTTTTTGTTAATGGTAAACGAGTTGCGTCTCACTCCTTCAGTCAAATTTTGGCGAATAGACAGCTCTCATTTTGTTGGAAAAATAGGGGAATAAAATTAAATATCGGGATTACTTTTCCTAATTTTGTGGAGGGATTCAAGTATTTAACGTCTGGTTTAATTTGTACGATGGTGTCAGTAAACTACAACCATAAGGATGCCTTTGAATATTTCTTGGATATTGTTTCTACATAAAACAACAGCAAGAAAATACTCGGGCCCAGTCGCCCTTGTTCACCTTGGTTTAAAACGGACTGGGCATGAGTGAACTGCGATGGTACTTCGCTTAGATTCACGCAGTTCTAAAACTAAAGAGACTGAGTTCAATACGACTCCCCCTTCCCCAACCCACACCCCCATAAAAAGAATTCCCATGTGTATTGCTGGTTTGCACGTGACGTCACGGCGGCCGTGTTGGCGGTCAAGAACAAAAGGATTTCTCTCCTCTGGGAACTGAATTCTATTTTCATGTAAATTCTTCGAGAAAAAATTCTGTTCTATTGACCCCCAACATGGGTGCCTTGTCACATGGTTGCATACCAAGAATTATAAGGCGCAGCATATCTTCAGGACTGTACGATATTCATGTAAGGATATGTGTAGCCTATCTACGTATTTTATCCGAAAATTATAAATAACACAATCATTCCTCGCAATATAATTTGCGGGTAAATGCCTTTTAACCTCACTGAAAAAGGCAAATTTCTATTCATTAAAACACCGTTCTATGACATGGACTTGCCAGGCAGGTAACATTCATTCCCGCACGTTATAATTAAAATATTGTCCTATGATATCCTCGACTTGGCACTTGGCCATAACAGCAGCTTAACGTCGACCATTGTCCTTTACGGATTTCTATGTAAGTAGTCTGCATGAGCGTACAATTTCATTCGAACGTTCATTGGATTAAAACGTTTGCGCTCTGGCGACCATTTTTGGCTTATCATATTCCTTGACGTGGAGCTTTGATCCTCAAAGATTCAACTTGGTATTTCACATTTGACTACGGTGGCTGGAGGGTCGGTTCAACTCCATGAATGAATTCCACCTAACAATGTTTTAGTTCTTAGCTTCCATGTTTTCTTTGAGGACCTCTACGTAATTCGAAGGAAAGTAGCCAACCTGTATAAATCAAATCAATCACCCAGTGAATCAGTCAATCAATCAATCAATCAATCAATCAATCAATCAATCAATCAATCAATCAATCAGTCAGTCAGTCAGTCAGTCCGTCAACGAATCAATCAATCAATCAATCAACTTTGCTTAGCATGGATGACACTTGACGGGCATAAACACACGACTGCAAAGCATTGGGGAGAAGAAAGAATCCGAAGAAAAGATCCCAGAACAAGGACGAACGCCATTTACGTATCTAAACATAACTCTAACCGGCGCCGAGCCGGGCAACATTGGGAGATGAGCATACAGTTCAACAAATTTCCTCTTCGATGATGGTTCGTAAATTCACAGCGGTCAAACGCAACGTGTATCCCGCGAGTTTTTATCAAGCAAACTTAGGACTTTGCG